CAACGGGCTTTTGCAAAGTGTCCACAAGCCGCACTGGGGAGCGGCAGCCCTGCCAGGCAGGAGGGTGTATTTTGGACAGTTGTAGCTTGCGAGCGTTGTGGGGGGGTTACTCGGAGGAGTACAGTGTACAAACATGTGGGTTTGGATGAGAATATTAACTGTTCAGACTCTGAGAGCTCCTATACCGTCTCCTCTTCAGGGATGGGTAGATCAAGCTGTCCTGCTAAGGATTTCTACTTCTGGGCCACGCTGCAGGTTAATAAATCAAATTGTGCTGGGCAGGGAGGAGTGCTGGACAGGTCATCTTGTCTGGTTAGGAGACGGAGAGCTGTTGGTAGAGGGTCCCAAAGTGTGACCTGCCTGCAAGCCAGCTGAGCCAAGGTCTGGCTGCAAGCTGTGTTTAGTTTCTAATGCCCGAGGAACATGGACTTTGCTTGCTTTCGATTAAAATATGTATTGGGCTGAGCTGTCTGCTCTGAGTGATGGTCTCACGAGGGAAAGCGGTGTGTCACTGGGTTTTGTGGTGGGGCCTAAATAATGGTTTGGTTCCTCTCAGCAGAGAAGTTGCTGAATGCTGGGTCGTTGTCTCTGTCTGTCAGCCCAGCTGGAGTCCTGGAGCACCACGATAGCATCCATCCCCTCTGTAACTCGGCGCAAGCCTGAACTGTCAGAACTAGCTCTAGAATTCCCTCTCGTGTGAGATTTCAAGGAAGAAGAAAGTTTCCCATTGCGAGTTTCCCCGAGTGACATAGAAAGGCACTTGTTACCTGCGGTGCTCTGCGCTGGAGACCCATGTCCGCTGCGCGGTCCCTTCCCTGGCTTCTCGGGAGGTGCAAAGCCAGAGCTGGGGGATGAGCAGCTCTCAGCGTAGCTGCAAGGCACACTAAGCTCACGGTCAGGTTCACGACAGGTTGCTGCTCCCTGGTAACTTGGGGCTTGCCGAGTTGTAGTTACAAGCTCTTCTTGAGAAGAATAGAACTTTTTACAGGGTATTCGCGTGAGTGGGGTTGGGGTTTAGGTGGAGCATGTGCCCTGGCTCAAGCCCTAGTGCTGCTGTGGTGTTGGTAGAGGTTCCTCGAGTACAGACAGCCCTGGCACCTTTGTCTGAAGCACACTGAAGGCTTCTTTCCTGATATTACCTGGACTAGATGCTCGGAAGCGCCTGATGTGTTGTGAGACTGCAAATCCAGCCAGCAGAGTCGGGGTGGGAGTGCTGAAAGGACTTGAAACCCTGCCTAGACTCAGAAACCCAAGCGGGAGCTGAGCTGTTTGGTAAATCCACCCCTGAGCACCTGGCACTGCAAACTCCAGGGGTGAGCTCTGTGCACCTGCATCCCCCACTGCTCTCCCTCTTGCTTCCTTGCCTTCCCCTTTTTCTTTCCCATTTTGCTGGATTTTAAGCTTGCATCGTGAAGTTAAAGTCATGTTCCCTCTGTGCTGCTGTGTTACACACATTAGTGCCAGAAGCACCAGAGTAACCGAGTGCCCATGCCCCAGTTTGTTGCACTTTTTTTTTAATTCAGAAACTGCATTTTTGTGTCCTCCTGTATTTTTCCTTTTGCTCCCAGCGTTTGGGTCAGCCCTGGGCTAGTCCCACTGGTGTTAGGAGAGGAGGGGGCTGGTAGGTCTGTTGCTGTGTTGGAGCCCTGAGCAGGCTCTGCTCAAAGGAGTGATTCACACCGGGACCTGGAGGGCTGATGAGATGGGACCCTTTAACCCTTCTTTCATCTTTACCCCTGGGCACCCGTGCACGTCACAGCACATCCGCTGAGAGCAGATGACCCTGTTCTCTCCCTGCCCTTCAGACTCCAATCTTCTGAAGGTTTCTGTTGAAGCATGTGGCTGGCGTGTCCAGGACTTTTTCCCACAAAGGAAAGCAAAGCCTTTTGTTGCTGAGAGAGCAGAGAGCACAGTGATTTGAGCATGAGCTCCTCGAGGGGGGCAATGCTCCCCAAGCCTGGCTGGTGCTTCCTGTTGGGGACAAGGGTACTTGAAGGCAGACATGGGATAACCCATGCCTCCTCCTTCCGTGTCCTTGCCTCATTCCCTTCGGGCTTTGGGGTTTTAATTATCAGTTTTGCAAGTCTGAATTAGCCTGATTATCATTTTTCTTCTTGATGTGAGGGACTTAGAAAATGCTCCCTGGGGTGGGGAAAAAACATACTTGAAGTTGAAGAGTGCCTGCTGCAACAGGAACACCGAGGTGGGGGGTTATATATGCTGTGTGGGAAGGAGAGGGGAAGCTTTGCTGGCTGTGACTACAGGATCGCATTAACCATCCTAACCCTAAAGAGGAGATCAGCCTCTAAACCTTTTGAGGGGAGCTGCAGACCTTCCCTCAAGCCTTGTGATGGAGCCAGGACATGCTCTAGGTGGTCCTGAAGCAAAGACAAGACTTGTTTTATACACTGCTGAAGGAGAGCCTGCCCTGGGCGCAGCCACAGCTGGGGCAGAGCTGTGCTGGGCATCTGCTCAGCTGGGGACATGGGGCCCAGTTAGTGATGGGGAGGGCAGTGATGTCAAACTGGACCATGGCATAACATCAGGATTGCTTTTTAAGCACTTTGGAGGGGTGCGTCGGTTTTGCATTCAGACCCCGTCTGAAAGTCATGGGGTACCTCATTTAAGGATGTTTTCAAAGAGATTTGTTTCTAAAGAAATCCCCTGGCTGGCTGTTCAGTGCCCCCCTGGGTGCTGAGCAGTGTCCTTCAGCTAGATCTGGGGGATCTGGCATGGGAAGCCAGCAATTTCTTGGTCCCCCCTAATGCCAGAGCCAGGGAAGGGGGCAGCAGGGCTGTGGGCTGCTGGTGGGTGGGGTGGGGTGCAGTTGTGCTGTTCACATCTTATGGCCGGAGGCAGGAATCTTTGCTCACTGGGGAAAAATGAGGTGATCTTTTCAATGCTTTTTAAGGATATAACATCATCTGCAATTAATGTTTAACTCTAGTAATGAATGTGCTCCCTAGCCAAGCACAAGCAGAGCTGTGGTTGTTTTGCTAGGGCTGCAGAAGAGAAGAGGCGTTTCTGGGATGTCTCCGTGTGCGTTTCCCTGTCGCTCCCGGCCGGGGATTTGCCAGCTGCTGGTGCCTCTGCCTCTCTCCCTCCTGCTGTACCCTGGAGAGTGCTGCCTCGTCTCTCCCCGCTCCAGGCTGCTTCTCTCTCATTTGCTAGTTGTTTTCCTGCCATGACTGTGCACTCCCCACTTTGCTGTCAGAGGAAGATCAGCAGTTACAGCTTTGCAAAACCTTGGCTCCTCCAATGTGGTCTGGTTGATGGGTGAGCGAGGCTGGGCTGGGAGATGGAGCACACCGAGGTGCTGGCACAGCAAAGCTTGTGCCACCAGGCAGGAGAATAAAGGAGAGGTGCCCTTGGCCCTTTTTTTTTTTCCTCCCCGGTGCTGTTGGAGTGCAGTGTAAGCAACAAGCAGGATGTGGAAGGCTAAATCACTCTGGGTTTGCAGATGAATGAGGGCCATGCAGAAACGCAGTGACATGCCCAAGGCCAGGCCGTTCTGGACAAGCAGTCAGGGCAGGATGCCACCAGGCAGGAGAATAAAGGAGAGGTGCCCTTGGCCCTTTTTTTTTTTCCTCCCCGGTGCTGTTGGAGTGCAGTGTAAGCAACAAGCAGGATGTGGAAGGCTAAATCACTCTGGGTTTGCAGATGAATGAGGGCCATGCAGAAACGCAGTGACATGCCCAAGGCCAGGCCGTTCTGGACAAGCAGTCAGGGCAGGAGTGCTGGCCGCGTGGTGCCCAGCAGAGACTCTGCTGTGGCTCCAGCCTGCGCCTCCTCGTAGCCTTCTCCTCCCTCTTTGGGCAGAGCATGAAGCAGAACGCTGTGTTCCGCTTACAGGTTACGTGTCTGCAGGGGACGTACGTGTGCATTGCCAGCCCTTTGCCGTGGCCAGGCGGCTGCACCCCACATCCCCCAGTAGCAGACCCCAATTGCTAATTAGCAACTCCTTGCAGTAAGCTGGGCATCGCCGTGGGCTTCTGCCAGGGCTGGGAGGGGGTGTGCCTGTGCTACTTACTCTCTGCTGTGACTTTACAGTCCCATCTTTCTGCTAGTTTCAGTGTTTCGCTGTCTGGTCCCTGTTTCCTTCCTTCCTTCCTGCCTTTCGACTTGGCAGCTCCGGAGCAGCGCGGTGCCAGCCTGGGCGCCGTTCTCCCGCGAGCTGCTCGGCTCGCACCGAGAGCAGCCTCCCAGCTCAGCCAGGCAGGCCTGCCTGTGCCGCTGCCAGACTCGAGATGTGATGTACCAGCTTTACCTCTGCCACACACATCCCTTAGGCTTCTCCGGTGGAACGTGTGGGTTGGAAAGTGGCTGCCCACACCGGGAAGGGCAGCAGTGCTGCATCCTGCCCCGTGGTGCTGGGGGATGGGATGATGCTGCCAGAACAGACGGCACAGGGCACGGAGAGGGAACTGCAGAGGCTCCCCGGTGCTCCCTGGGAGGCAGGACAGGACATGCAGGCAGGTCTGGGATGACACGGTGATGTGGATGCCGGCAGCTCTCTCACTGCTGGGAACTGGGATTGCCCAGCAGCTCTCATGCCTGCTCGTACAATACAGCCCTGCATGAGAAATGCTCTGGAGCCGCTCAAAAGTCATGACGTTGCCTCCCCTGCATGTACCGGTGTCCCTTTCCATTCCCAGATCTGCCCAGTTAACAAGGGAAGGTTCTCAGGCCTTATTCTGCCATGAAATATGCAGAGCTTGGGTTGAAGGGGTGGTTGCTCTTCTCCACGAAAACTGGGTGGAAGATCTGCCTCTTTCAGGCATTCCCCTCTGCACAGGAGATGGCAGTGCCCTAGGCTGGCTACGGCTGCGACGTGGGGGCACGGGGGTGCAGGGTGTGTGGCATCTCCCTTGTCAGAAGAGCCTGTGCTGGAGCTGCATTAGCCTGGTAATGCCCACACCACCCGCTGACGTGGGGCTGAAACCGGGAGGCAGGGCTGTGTTGTGGATGCTCGTCTCGTTTTTTTTTTTTCCCTGTCCCAGGTTGGCTCAGTCCTTGTTTGCACTCTTCGCCTCGTCACTAGCGATCTCCTTGGTCTTTGCCATCATCCCTCTGTGTCACAATGTGGTGGTCCTGGCTGTGGTCATGGCTGTGGCAGGACTGGCCATGGGTTGCATCGACACCATTTCTAACATGCAGCTGGTGAAGATCTACCAGAAGGACTCGGCCATCTTCCTGCAGGTGAGCATGGAGCCTGTGTCTCCCCTCTGGCTGTGCTTCCTCCTCTGAGGAAGAGGAGTGAGGATCTCGGCCAGCCTCCCTGCAGAAAAGAGCAGTAAACCCCCCCGGTCTACTTGTGTCTCTCATCTCTTGCAGGCCCTTCACTTCTTCGTGGGCTTTGGAGCGCTGCTAAGCCCACTGATAGCTGACCCCTTCCTCTCGGACACCAACTGCATCCTCTCAAACTCCACGGCCAATGCTTCCAGCAACCTCCCTCACATCCGCAAGTCCCTGGTCCCGCACCATCCAGGCAACCTGTCTCATTACGACCTGCCGATGAAAGGCATGGTGGTCACCCGTGTCTCCTACGCCTTCTGGATCATGGCCCTCATCAATGTAAGTGCTGCAGCCGGAGTGGCCCAGGCTGTTGCTGGGGATGTCCTTGCTTCTCTGCCTCACAGGCAGTTGTGGTGTTTGGGGGGGTGTCGGTGTGTGTTAGGTGGTCCCAGGGATGGAAGGAGGCATGAGGGTGGTTGTGCTGGTCCACAGTGAAGGTTTGTTTTCTGCCAAGTGCCCAGTTTCCAGCAGGTGCCTGGGGCAGGAGGACAGGACTCTGTAGCTGAACCAGCGGTCACTGCGCTGTCTGATGCGATAGGGTCAATGTACCGTCCTGTGGGGATTTGTCTGATCTCTCTGGAAGCGGGTTGTACCTCCAGCATCCCCCCGGGTGGGAGTTACACAAGATAGCAGAGCCGCAGGGCTGTCCTCTGTGGTCGGGCTGGGGAGGAGCTTGGTGTGGGGAAGGCTTGGCCGGAGGGTGATGTGCAATGATATTCATAGGGGAGTGTCCATGGGTGACCTGAGTTACCGGGGCCGAAAGCTCGATCAGGGTGTCTCCGTCTATTTGTTACGTTTCCCTGGTGACTTGCAGCAGATGGAAAAGCCCCGTGGCCCTTTCCTTGAGAGAGAGGTGGGGTTCAGTGCCCACCTCCAGTGCCCCGCTGAGTCCCAAAGCTGATCTCCAGCAAGCTGCTCTCACCAGCAGGCTGTGGGCTCTCTTTGAAGTGTAGCCCCTTATCCCCCCCCAGTTAATACCCAGATCCCAGCTTGGCTAAATAGAGCTGGTCCCTCGCACACCCTCGCAGGGCTGTGGCCACCGTCGTGCCCGTCCCTCTGCAGCAGAGTAACTAAGCTGCCGCCGTCGTTTCCCTGGTGGCAGGAGCCCCGCGAGCCTGTGTGTAATTGTCTGTGTAGATTTGGAGCGATAAGAGCAGAGCGTGTTGTCGCAAGCGAGCGTCGGCCCTGCGGAGTGGCGCTGTGCATGCCAGGATTGATGCCGAGGGCAGCTCCGCTCAAAACCCGCAGAGCGCGCGGTTGTGCTGCGTGCGTGGGAATTCCTGCTGGTGGGGGGACCGGGGTCTTGATCTTCCACCGCTCCGTCTGCACTAGGCAAAAGGAACAAGTTTCTTTGTGTTCTTGGTCTTCCCGTTTGCTGGATAACTATCCCGTACCCCGGTGCGCCTCTTCCAGGGCTCTCGTTAGGCCGAGGCCCGCACAGCTCGCTGATGCGAGGAGAAGAACAGGTAACCCAAATAGCCGGGCGGGTGCCGCAATGAGCTGCTTGCGCAGAAGAATGCGCTCTGCCTAGGAGGAGAAACCGGCTGTAATTACCTCTGACTCTGCGTGTGCCATGGGAAATGTGCTTTTAATTACACCGGAGCGTTATCTATTTTCCCAGTCAATTCTGAGCAAACTAATTTAGTTTTGAAGGCAGCGTTTAATATCTGCTTCAAATATGATGACGTGTCTGATGGGAGGGTGGTTGCCAGACCCAAACCCCTCTCTGTTCCTCGCAGTGTCCCATGGACCTTTTGGGAGCAGGATGGGACCCTAGGCTGAGTCCTGCTGTGCTCAGTAGTCGATGCATAGCAGGTTGTGAGCTGGACTTGTGCATCGCTGCACACTCAAGTGTGATTTGCACGTGTGGGTGGTTTGCACGTGTGTGCACATCCTGCATAGGATCACCGGGAATACAGCAGGGAGTCCTGGGGTGCTGGGACACTGATGGCTTTGGGGATGAGGGTTAGGTAACACACACCGGAGGAGTGGGGAGTCGGACATGTGCTGAGTAAGCTATAGAAATGGAAACCAGGACCAGCAACTTTGTTGTAAAATGGTCAAAAACACAATTCCATCCCAGTTTTCACAGGGCTGTGTGTATTCTGACAAGTCACAAGCTGAAATGATTCATTTCAATTTCTTGCTTTGTTTAAAGTGGAAATGTCTCAATTTGACTTTGGCATAAATGCAATGTGTAAAGCTGACAGAATAGTTGTTTTGATGTTATTGAAGCAAAATGTTTTTGCTTCAGTAAAATTAAGTGGTTCAACATTATCAAAATGAAGTGCTTGGATGATTCCTGGCCAAAATTTTTCATTCTAAGAGAAAATTTTGGCTTTTCATCCAGATTTGGAACAAAAACATATTTTAAAATTCAGTTTCCCACAGAACGGAAATTTCATCATCCAGCCCATTCCAAGGGGTTGGAAATCAGGAAAATGTTTCTCCGAGAGGGATGTGTTTGTCCGGAAGGTGGTTTCCCAGGGGAAGTGCGGGACGCTCCATTGTGCTTAGGTTGCTTAAAAGTAGCCTGGATACAATCGCAGGGAACCGTCTCGTGCTGCCGGGGGGGAGAGACTGAAATAGAAACTGCAGGGAAGGAGCCTGGATTAGACCTACTCTTAACTGCGTGATGCAGCAACTTGAGTTTATAATAGTGATTAAAAGCTGCCGGGGCAGGGGAACATCCCCGGTGATTCGGTGAGCTGGGCTGGAGGGCTGGGTCCAGGCGGTGGGGGTCTTGCCTTTCAGCCCACGCAGGCTGCCAGCGGGATGCTCGGATGCCCCTCTCCTCCTTGAAAAAAGAAAAGCCCTCCACCGAAAAAGGCGAAACAGGGTTGCTCTGGGGGGGAAAAAAAAAAAGAAAGCCCATGAGCAAATGGTTATCTTACCAAAATCTCTGCCTGCTCCAGAGGGAGGGGCTGGTCAGAGATGGGGACTGGAGGGGTCCAGCTTGGTGTGGCTGGGGGCTCTGTGGGGCAGGGCAGTGCTTTTATAAGGACCAGCGTCCTTGCTTTAGCGGCTGTGGCTGCGGCTCATCTCTGGTTCTTGCCGTTTGGGCTCCCTGGAGGGTGGGAAGGCTTTGATTGCTCTTTGCCCCGTGCCGAGCAGCCCGGGCAGCAGAGGTGTCAGTCCCAAGAAAACTGAAGCTACTTTAGGAGCTGAGCAGCACGATCCTGTCGTAAGCACGGTGGCCCTGCCCTGAGTGTCTTGGCAAGTGTCCTGGGGCCAGCGAGGCTCGTTGTCACCACCCGACCTCTCCAGCTGGGGCATGTGGGAGCTGCGGATGGGGAGAGGGGCTCAGCACCCACCTGGCAGCTCGTGGCGGTGGCCGTGCTCATGTGGGCAGTGGAGGGGACAGTCCTTGAGCTGTCCTTGTCCTGTGGTTGAGGTAGACTGCCCCTCCGGGATGGATTTGTCCCTTTGCTTAGTGAAACATGCCCTGGCAGGGCTCTGCTGTTTGGCTCTGTTTGCTCCTCTCTATCTGCCCGTGTAATAACTGACCTGGTTTTGTGGATGCTCCATCCCCTGTACACACCCCAGATTTGTGGCTGACCCCTCCCGTGGGCCAGGTGGCCACAGGTGACTGTCCTCCAGGCCATGTGTCAGCCACAGGGCTGGCTCAGGATGGAGCCCTGGGAACCTGCTTTCTCTTGAGCTTGATCCTTTGCTCTTCCCCACTTTCCTGAGCTTGCTTTGGGGTGGTGGCAGCCCGTGGGTGAGGGCTGTGCTTGACCCAAAAGCTGGAGACTCACCCGTGGTCGTTTCCTACCAGAAATGGCCAGCGCTGGCGAGTGGCTGATGGGATCAGAGCACTTGTGCACCTGAGGCACTGCCAGCTTCAAGGTGGTACAGTCTGAATAAAGCAAAAGGGACCTGCTTGCTTTAGGGATGAGGATGTGGGGAGCAGGGATATGCCTACGGTGTGACTGGGAATTGGGGGAGCCCAGAGTTTTTCTGCACAGGCACCAAGTGCTCCTTAAGGCTGAAAGTGCCCAGAGCTGTTATCTGTATGGCCAGTCCCTCTGTGTGGGTATTTTTTTTTGCAAAATCTGCAATTTAGAAGAATAAAATCTGGTCCTGACCTCCGGAAGGATTAGAACTATCAAGCAAATGCGTTTTTCTTCCATGGGACCGAACTAACTGTTCCTATTCCCATTGTTCCCAGAACAATGAAGTCCTCATAAATGAATTCAGGCAAGAGAGGCGGGGCAGGGGGGGAATTCTCCATACATTTAAATCATACCATGAGCCAACAAAAGGCAGGAAATTTGGAGCTAGAGCTCACACTTGCTCACAGACATGTAGAAAACAAGCGCTCGGTGGCTAGAGAGTGAGCTGTCACTTAGGATTTCCTGGCTTTCTCCCCCAGTTTGTTGCAGAATAAACACCACTTGGTTGCGGTGGGAGGAGAAGGGAGGGCTGGTGAGGGGCAGACCCAGCTTCATTTGCTTCCCTCTGTTTTCTCTCCCAAAAGAAAAAAAAAAAAAAAAGCAAGTCTGTCTGGTCTTGGAGGCAC